CCTATCCCCTGTGTGCCTTGCCTCCCACGACTATAGATTATGAATTTTGTTAGGGTACTCATGCACATGAGTATTTCTTTATTGTACCCAACATTTTTGGACACTCGATACCCTTACTCCACTATGTAGTAACTTTTTTTGCCTAGGGGTATTTTAGGTAATTAATCAGGGCTACAGTTGAAATTCTTGATAGAAAGAAAATTATTTATTAACTATAGTGGAGGATGACATCACCCACATTGAGCAATGATTGCTTCTAAACCACTAATAAATGCCACTTGTTCCTTATAGAAATATCGATTCTATCACTCCTAATGATGAAAAATACCCTAACCCAAAAATTTTGTATTACAAAACCAGGGTATACGAGTGTCCAAAAAAAGTTGAGTCCATTAAGGAAATACTCATATGTATGAGTATAATCTATATATATAGAAATTCTTGTCCATTAGGTCATCATCATCAATATCTAGTAAAATAATGCATAGTAAAGGAGAGAGATTGGACCAAACCACTTGCTCCATTCCCATCTATCATTTCATGGTTGTCCTAGTGGATTACATTTTTCAGTAGTCCATTGGATTTTATAGTATGTTATATTTTTGGGTCATGTCCCATTCTGGTGGGGTCCACTCCTGTGATCACCGTCCATATTTCCATGGATGGGATGGCCCAGTGGATTGTATTTTTCCTTAGTCCATTGGATTAATATTTTTTTTTTTTGAAGAGCTCCTAGACTGTTGGATTATAGTTTATAATTATTCATTTTCCAATAGCACAGCCACTCATGAGTTCTTGAATATTACAGAAGAGATTGGATCAGATGTTATATGTAGGGCTTACCGAAAATCACAAAGAATCTGCAACAATGTTTGCTGATGTGGTTGGAGCACAAATCCTTTCTCAGTTACAAGAGTTAGCCAATCAACAAAAGCAACTAGCTGATAATGTAACAGGTAAATGACTTTTCTGGATGGGAAAATGTGTTATAGTCCGACGGTCTACTGAAAACCATAGCCCTTTCCTTGATTGGGGTCATTATCGTCCAACGAGATTATGGATGGTGATTAGAGGGTGGGGCCAACCAGAATAGGACATGACCTCAATGGTGGGTCTATTCCCTCTACAACACCATCATTTTTTTAGGCAGTGTTGACTCCAATGGGCTATACTTTTCTATATAGCGTTTTGGATTATAACACACTTTTGTTTGATTTATAAATCTGGTATTTGTTGATTTTAATAGTACTGCTAAGTTGATCACATTTTTTAGCTTGCCCATTTGTTCCTGATTTTGGAGCGGAAGCAACTCTAAATCTGTGTTTTAATAAATAACACTCAAAGAAGTCAAGTTGTGAACCTTATGTATATCTGGCATATGAGCAGGACCATTATCTTCATTGCAAGATCATGAGACTGAAGATTTAAATAATCTGCAGGTAAGCTGGAATTATGGTCCTCTCCCCGCCCCCTTCCCCAGGCGGTTCTCTATCTCTTTCTCTCTCTCTCTCTCTCTCTCTCTCTCTCTCTCTC